AAAGGTAATTTTATACTGCATTTTTAATAATTTTGTATATAAAATAGACATGGTGTGGAATTTTGTGTGGTATCCTGCTGGTGCACACAAAGATTCCGATTTTGGAGCATTTTAGGTTAAGAATGCTCAACCTGTATTTCTTCCATAAATACTTGGTAGACGCTCTTATGGCCCAGAACTAGTACTATTCCCAGTCCCTGCACACATCCAGCATTATTCTCTAACCCTTTCGACTGTTTTCCACCCTGGGCTCAGGTAATTCCCCTGCTGCTCACTGCTCAGCTGGATCCTCAAAGCAGGTGCTATGGAAGTCCTTCAAGTTTTCTCTCTGCATCTCTCACCTACATCTGGTACAAGCACTCTCCCTGGGCCATTCGAGCTGCCTGTCCTGGATGTCCATCTCCACGTCACTCAGGGCATCAGCCAAGCTCTGCTCGGACCCCAGGGCCCTGGCCTGAAAATCCCTGCCAGAAGATGAGCAGAAACAACTCAGCCCTCACTATCCTCCAGCATACTGTGGAAGAAAAGATACTTACTTGGTCTTGTCAATGGCTCCAGGCACAGAACCCTAAAAGCCTTGGGATTTCCAAGTGAGGAGGGCAATGACCAAACCATCTCATTCCAACGAGGCAACTCTGGGCAGCTTCAGGGTGGGCTGCTCACCAGAAATGCCAACCCTGGAGTAGAGACCTGGGAGTTTCAGCCACAGCCTTGAAGAGTGGAGCTGGAGACTGGGCTCATCACTGATGGCTAAAGACTCAACACACTCAAGTCGGGGCCATAATTCGTATATCTTGCTGCCAGGAAGCTCTGAACCACTGGCAGTACATGCACAAGTGTTCCATCAGTCAGCATGAGACAGCCCCATGGGGTGGTTCAAGTCGCCTGATGGAAGAGCTGCGCATGTACCACTGGTGGTTTGAGGTGGCAGGAATGCACTACTCAGTATCTATGTACCAAGACCCCCGTGACAGCCACCACGGGTCTGGAGAACTGGGCTGTTGAACACATCAAGGTGCTAGAAGGGCAGTGCATTCCAAGGGCACAGGTGCTCCACACCACCTCCACCTCCCAACCTTGCCCTGTTGGCTACTTCTGACTTGCATCCTTTAGAATAATCTAATAAAGGAGGTTGTCTTCCCGAGTTCTGCGAGTCATTCCAGCAACTATCACACACAGGAAGGAGGTGCGCAGGGGTCATGGAGATCCCTGATTGACAGCCAGTCAGGGAGAAGTACAGGTGGCCAGGGACTTGCAGCCAGCTTCCGAAGCTGGGTAGTCTGTAGGCCTGCGCCCATTCGAGTTGTGGGATCTAATGTTAACCCCGGGTAAACAGTGTGAGAAGTAAAATGAACTGCTGGGCACCCAGTTAATATCCGGAGAATGGGAAAAGCAATATTGGAAAAGATATCAGCTACTGAGTGTCAGAAGTGGGACAAAAACCTCATTAAACATTTCTGAAGAGATCACTCTTGGGCCGGGGGTGTAGCTTGCTGCAGGGCACGTGCCAGCAAGCATAAGGCCCTCAGTTCCATCCCCAGATCCCCAGCACGAGGTATGTGTGTGACTGTGCCCCCACTGAGTAATGCCCAGGATTGAATGTATTTTGTCCATTTTGTCCATTTCTGGATGGTTTGGGGCAGCAAAGTGTATTGGTCCTTGTTACTCCATCTTGACCACAAATGGAAATCCGCCCCAAGTCATCATCAACACTACCACGCAGCTCTCCAAGCTTCCTCCGACGCCCACCAGCAAGGGCCTCTAGCAGTCACTGACTCCTGGTCTGGATAACTCAGAGCACTCAAGGTGAGGTAAACACCCGCACAGGGCCCAGCCCACAGGAGCCACTCAAGAAGCTCTGCTGGACAAACTGATACACACACAGCTGCAACCCGGGTTCAAAATCCAAGGCCCTCTAAGAACACAGGTCCCCATGTCTTTCCAAAAGGCCGGGCCCAAGTCTGCACTGAGACTTCAGAGCAAATTTAAACTCTTCACTAGCAAGGGAATGAGAGTTAAGAGGAGAGCACAAGCAGAAGCCCAATCAGGAGCGCTTGAGGCCCGGACAAATCCAGAAAGGGGCAATGAGAACACCTTGCGGTTTCACTACTCCTTTGTCTGACAGTTCTCTTAGAAGCAAAGCATTTTTCCCGTTGGTGCAGGGACTTTCCTGGGCATCTCTTAAATACACAGAAGACGAATACTGGGGCTTAGAAGTAACAAGAATACTTGGGAACGAACTTTGTTTCATTGGTTTTGGTTTTGGGATGGCGTCTCATTATGTGGCCATGGGTGTTCTCCAACCTGTGAGCTCAAGAGAGCCTCCCGTCTCAGCCTCCTGAGCAGCTAGAACAACCGGTGTGCACCTCTGGCCCAGCACAAGTGTTTTCATGTTTCTGTTTTTAATGATAGGAGAAAACTGACTACAGTATATCCTGTTCACCTGTGCCGTAAGCCTATCTGGATACAAAAAAAGACACATGAAGTGTAGAAAATGAAGTCTTGTCTTGTCCCTGCCTGCCCTTTCTGCTGTCTTACTCCAGGGTGAACCACAGTCAGGGTCAATACAGAAAAGTAAGGCATGAGCTAGCATGAGCACACACTGACTACACATTTACCAACAACAACTGCTATACAGAAGCGCGTCGTAACTGCTCTATCACCAGGTATTGTTGGTAATCTCTTGCTGTGCCTTACACATGAAACTCTATCATAGTAGGTATGTGTATATTGGAAGAAAATCATGTATTTAGGGCTTTTGTACTATCCAGTTTTGGGGTCTGGACATAGGGGCAACTACTGTAAACCAATTCCTAGACACATTGCACAGGACTTTCCTCAGTTAGCTCAACCCAATTTTAAAGGTCAAATAAAGACAAAAACACTTTCATTCTGAGTACTAAGGTATCATGTAGCTCCTTGTACCAACTGTGAAACTTCCCCAGTGATCTCACTGCTTACATTCGGGACTTACAAAGAGAAACTAAAAGGACAAAGTACAGAGAAGGTGTGAGTCAAGCTTTCTTATGCCCATATCTTAAGGACACTGAGTGGCAGGTTTAAGAGTTCTGGTGGCTGTTTTAAAAAGTCAGAAAGAAGGCTGAATGGTATCCCTCTCCCCTCTGGCAAAGAAGTCTCTCCAAAGACCCCCCTCGCCCCACCGCTCAGGCCTCGCTCGAGTGACAGTTCCACGTCCAGCCCCTTGAGAGGCTTGCACCGTGCCCAGGGCTAGACACAGACTGTCCTTGCAGTGCAGAGCTCTTCAGCTCTACACCCAAAAGCACTGTCTCTTCCCATACTTCATACCTCCTGCCTAGGCTTCCCCAAAATGTCTTTGGTGGTCACTGACGCTCGGGTACAGACAGGCAAACCGTTCACTATGGGACCCTCCAAAGCCATCACTTCTTCCTGCGTTCTGAGCTCCCAGAATTCCACACGTGCCTCTACACGACGCACTGCATGCTGCCACCTTCTTTGATTCCCTCGTCTTTGGCACATCTTGAAAGAATATTTGTTTCTATACCCACTGGCGCCCCTTCTTGTTCCATCCACCCCTCAGCTCTCGGGACCCGGCTTCGGACTTTAGCCTGCGTAGAGACTGCAGTATCGAAATGCAACGCCCTGTCTCTCTGGTGTCCGTTCACCTGTGTGCTTGGTGGCCCCAAACCCCATGCCCTTTTCTCACTCTTCTTAGCTTCACTCACCTCAGCTATTTTTTTCTACTATTCTCTTGAAAACTAAAAATACAAAGAAAAAACAAAAATGCAAAACAAAAAGCAAATACTTATATTCCCGTGAATCAGAAGTGACAATGCTAATGTCACGTTTGCTTTAAGTCTTCATTTTTAAAAAAGAACAAAACCAGGGCTGGGAATTTAGCTCAGTGGCACCACCCCTGCCTCACAAGCTTAAGGTCCTGAGTTCTCTCCCTGGTACTGAAAAAACAAATAAATGAAATTTTAAAAAATTAAAAAAGAACAAGCCAGGCGTGGTGGTGCACACCTGTAATCCCAGCACTCAGGAGGCTGAGGCGGGAGGATGACTGTGAGTTCGAGACCAGCCTGGGCTACAGAGTGAGTTCCAGATCAGTCTCAACTATGGAGTGAGACCCTGTCTCAAAAAAAATCCAAAAAAAAATTTTAAAAAGAACAAAACTGGAAAAAGATGAAAACCCCTGTAATTTCTCCTGGGCACCCACTCCCACTCCCACTCCTTCCCCTTCCCACAGGCAAGCACCTTCCTAGGGCGCAGCCCTTTTGGTTCGCTTTCCCTTACAGACGTATTCCTCAGCGACAATTCTGTACTTCACAAAAAACTGAACACAATGATGCCATACAGTAACTTATCAAGTTTCTCTCATTCAGCAAGATTTACCCACGCTGACACCTGACACAACCTGGCAGTCTGCTTCCACTGAGCTCGGAGTGCTGGTCCGATGGCTCTCACTGTTCTGTCCAGTTACTGAGAGCTTCGTCAGCTCCATGGCCCGATTCCACAAGCTTCACAGACACTGCCTGTGTTCACCTCGCAGTGACCCTCGGAGACGACGATCCGAGCGCCTACTGCTGGCACAGGCGGACAGCACCCTCCAGAGCCAGCTGAGGCTGAGGCTATACCACTGACCACTGTGCTACGTGGGCTGCTTCCTAACCACAGCCACCTGTGCTCTCCTGTGCCAGGCGTCCCGAATGCATCACCTGTCTTAATTCTCTGAACCATCCCCCTACACGCTGCCTGCAATTGCTGTCCCCAGTTAGAGACAAGGAAATAGGCTGGAGCCTCAGAGGGAACTGAGACTTTACATTCAGAATCCAAGTTTTTATCTACTGAGCTGATGTCAGACTGACTTAGAAGGGGAAAGGATGAGATCAGAAAGGTGAGAGAGCTCAGTGCAGCGGTCAGGGTTACTGCTTCACCCATTACAGGGTGCTGCACCATCATCACCGGTTCCCCATCCACACAGCACCACAGCAGGCGGGCAACAGGGAAACAACACTCACAGTTGTGAACCTTGTAGCAGTGGTTCTGCAAGCGCTTGACATCCCATTCCTCCAGCACACCGTGAGTCATCAGCAGCTGCAGGAAGCGCCGGTGCACATCGGTCATGGTGCCCATCCTTTTGGCACTGCCCTGCATGTGTAAAGGAGCTGAGAGAACATGACATCGAATCACCGGCAAGCACACCAAGGCAGTGCCCTAGGTTTTAGACTAGCTTCTGTGAAGAGGGATAAATTCATGGTGGTTTTTAGAATTATGTTCCTCGTGGGAATTACTGCAAAGGTGAGAAGAACACGAGTCAAGGGCTAGTTTGGCACAATGGTGCTGGGAAGCAGGAAAAGCGGAGAACCCCCGCCCCAGAACACTGGCTCACAGCCTGGCTCCACCACTTGTTAGATGCGTAAAATCGGGCAAGTGAGTTCTCCAAATGCTTTAGTTTTGTTTTGTAAAACAGGACTAATGATGGAAATGTCCCCAGAGAATTGCTACAAGAATTAAACGAGTAAATACAGCAAGAGCCTACTCAGTGCCCATAAGCACTAAACGCGTGCTAGCTATTTTTACCACTCAGTAATTCTGAGTCTGAACCTTGACTCAGCCACTTACCAGACCTTCGGCCTTGAAGAAATTTAGCTGAGGCCTTGTTTTCTCCCTGAAAAATTACAAAAACATTTACTGCTTAGAAAGCTGTTGGAAAATAATCAGTGTTCATTTCCTTTCCCTCTCCCCAAATCTTTAATAAATCAACTGTCACAGTAGGACTGCTGGCTATTTTGAAAATCTCCTGCTCTCTAATAAAATGGTATCTTTCCACAAACCGCAAAGATCAGAGGTGATAAATGTACAACACAAGCGCTGATCGAGACACCTGCTCCTGTCACTAAGAGCAGCACAGTGCAGGGCCTGACTGCGTGGGTCTGAAACTAGACAGAGGCCAGTGCTTGTCAGACCTGCCTGGTCTCAAGAATCACCTGCCTTGCACTTAAATATTATAGGTTCAGAGCCCCTTCAGGGAGGTTCTGACTGAGCGGGGCTCAGATTCTGAGGTGATAACATTCACTTTAGATGATGCCCCAGTTGTAACTTCAGGCAGATGGAGCATGGAACCACACACTAACATGCACTGTCACCCTAAGGCTCCATCTGCTCAGCCACAAAGCAGGACTGAGAATGGGCCTCTTCAAGGCATAAAATGAAGTGCAAATGATATATGACCACCAAATCTTGCCAAGAGCCTGGTGCACAAAAGAGACACAAAAATGCTGGTTAATATTCTCTCTTTCTCTCTCCGTGTGTGTGTGTGTGTGTGTGTGTGTGTGTGTATGTGTGTGTCTTGAGACAGGGTCTCACTATGCAGTTCAAGCTGGCCTTAAACTCCCTATGTAGCCCAGACTGGCCTCAAACTCTAGGCAATCCTCTTGCCTCAGCCTCTGGAGTGCTGGGATTATAAGCGTGCACCCAACTCAAAGAGGATAAATTTTAAAACACCCTCCTAGGCCCACGGTAGAAAAGGGTAGAATATCAAAGATTAAAAGCAACCAAAGAATAGGCCAGAGCCAGGTGTGGTAACACAAAGTTGTAATCCCAGCACACATTCTAGAAGGCTAAGCCATGAGGATCACAAATTCAAGCCCAGTCTGGGTGATTTAGTGATTTAGTAAGACCTTGTCTCAAAATTTAAAAAAAAAAAAAAAAATTTAAAAAAGGAGATATAGCTGAGCGCTAAGGTCCTCATTTCAATCTCCAGTACCACAAACACAAAACAAAACAGAGAATAGGTCAGGTGACTTTCAAAAGAGCAACAATTAAGGCTGACAAGTGACTTTACAACAGCCATTGCGGGAACCCATGACACCCAGAAAACAGAGCCAGGAAGCTGGGACTGCAGACTGTCTCTAAATCCAACATTCACTATGTAACCAAGGACAGAATGAAATAAAACATCCCCAAGCAGCAAAAGCTGGAAGATTAAATGGCCAACAGATCTTCAATAAAGAAATTGCAAAGCAAGTACCTCAGGATAAAAAGAAAAACATGTATGTTTTAATACCAGGGATCGAATTCAAACCCTTGAGCTTGCAAGGCAGGCAGCAGAACCATTGAGCTAAATCCCAGGCCCAAGAAAAACAAGTTGCAAAGTCTACAATGAAAGATAAAATGAAGAGCAAAGTTGGTAAATGCAGTTAAATTCAAGGTGATATGTGATTATACAAAAACAGTAAAATACACAAAAATGATAGCACATAAATTGAGGTGAGTACTCACTATAATTAGTGTCCTAATATCCTCATGATGATTCTGAGCAGAATAAAAAGTTTATGAATTTTACACTTTCATAATTTCTTTCCTTTTTTTTTGTTTTTTTTTTTGAGACAGGGTCTCAGGCTGGTCTCAAATTCACAGCCATCTTCCTGCCTCAGCCTCCCGAGTGCTGGAATTACAGGCGTGTGCCACCATGCTCGGCTTACATTTTTATAATTTCTAGAGTAAGCACTTTTAAAAAAACAAGAATAAGGGCCCGGGATTTAGCTCAGTGGTTCCACCACCTGCCTGGCAAGCACAAGGACCCGAGTTCGATCCCTGGTACTAAAAAAAAAATGAAACAAGCATAAGAGAATATAATTTCCAAATTAGTAATGTAATGAGAAAAATAATCAATTAATCCTAAACAAGGCAACAAACAAGGGGAAAAAACAAACAGAACAGCAGAACCATAAGAAATGAACTAAGGCCAGGCGTCATAGTGCACATCTGTAACCCCAGCATTGCAGCAGCTGACACAGGATGATCTCCATGAATTTAAGGCTAGCGTGGGATACAAAGTAACCTCAAAGCCAGCCTGAACTATATAATGATCCTTGTCTCAAAAAAAAAAAAAGGAAAAGAAAAATGTTAGGATAAATAAATCCCATTAAATTAGTGAAAACAATAAGCAAAAATGGATTAAGTGTGCTGATTTAAAAACAAGGACTGTTAGGTCAGAGTTTAAAACTTGTCAAATTAATAAAGAATAAAATCTAGCCAGATATTGCATTACTTCTAAAACATAAGAACACTGAAAAATTAAAGTAAAAGAATAGAAATATAATCTGTAAACTTATATGAGCTGATAGGATTTTTATTAATATGTGGCAAAACAGACTTTAAAGCAAAAAGGTTTACAAAAGATAAAGAAGGTCATCAAACATAACCTCTGTACAACGGGAAAAAAATGAGAACCAAGACCTGTCATGTAAAGATATAAGATCTCAATAATGAATGTAACTGTACTGTATACCTAAAATGTTCCAATAAACAACAGCCTCCCCTGATGGACCTGCATAAAACACTCAACAGCCGCAGAAAAAGTCAAGGACACACAGAACAACTATGCCAGTTGCCAAAAGTGGACCAGAAATGGAATGTTACAAAGTATAATGAACAAATCCATACAGACTATGAACTCTAACTACAAGGAAGAAAGCTGGAAACTAGCACCAAAAAGATAACCAGAAAAACTCCATTGGTTTAGAATTTAAGAAACGCTGCTAAATGATCTGTTATCGAAGAGAAATTATTAATGAAAATCAAAACTACATTGGATGGAATAATCCCAAAACATTACACATAAAAACTGGTGGGAAGCAAATGAAGAAGCAGTGGGAAATCAAGCATTTATATTTTTTAAAGGAAGGTGCTGAAAATTAATGAGTTAGGTATCCATTTTAAGATAGCTATAAAAAAACAGAAAATTAAATATGAAGAACGTCAAAGGAAGAAAATAATGAAGAGCAAAAATTAATACAATAAAAAATAAATCTGCATCTAAAGAGATCAACAAAATCAAGACATGGGCTGAGGGTGCAGTTCAGTGGTAGAGAGCTTGCCCTGTGTTCAAGTGGCCCTGAGTTTAATTCTCGGTACCTCACTCATACATAGAAAAAAAAAAAGCCAAAAATATCTGTAAAAACAATGAGAGGAAGTAAGTTCTGACAAGATTTCCTAAGAGAACATTTACAAATAAAACAATATTTGGAATGAAAAAAACTAATTGCATGTGACACAAACATTTTTTAAAGATATTATTAACAATTTATAACAATCTTGTTTTAAATATGTACAAAGTCATAGGAAACTCATTTAAAACTGATGAAAAAAATCATTTGAAAACTTAAGTCCTAGAGCCACTGAAAGCATTTTGAGAAATCCATCCTTCCACAAAGAAAATTTTGGGTCCCAATAAAACTTATCAGAAAGTCTTACCAAACATTCTGGAATCAAATAATTCCAGAAGTTATACACATCATTCCACAGTCAGAAAAAGAATCAATTCTCCCCAACCCAACTAATAAGACTGATATTATTTGGGTGCTAAAATATAACAATGATTTTAACAAAAGGAAAATCACAAACAAAATTACACACACGCTATCTCAGGAAAAGAGCTTTAACAGTCCTAAGCAAAACATTAAACCAAATCCAGCAATGCAAAGAGAATGAAATATGATCACTCAGTGAGTTTATTTCAGCAATGGTTTAACATTTAAAAATCAATCGATGCAAGTCTCCACATTTACAAGGAAAAAAGTATATGATCAACTTAGTAGATATAAAAAAGAACTTGATATTTTTTTGTACCAAGGATCAAACTTGGGTCCTTGTGCTTGTGAGGCAGGCAGCAGAACCACTGAGCTAAAACCCCGGCCCAAAAAAGAACTTGATAAAATTCACATACTAATATGGATTTGGGGGAGGTGGTGCTAAGGATGGAACCCGGGGCCTCACAAATGCTAAGCAAGCACTCTATCACTAGTACTCTTGGCCCAAAGGAAATTTATCTACTAAATGAGACCTACAAAAAACTTAAAGAAATGTTGAAAACAATCACTTTAAAATCCCAGTTGATCGATGTCATTCCTATCAAAATTCCAGCAGGCTTTATCAATGTGTCTGCATGTGATCTGATGAGATGATTCTAAAATTTATTTAGAAAAGCTTATACAGAAAACCTTAAAGCAAAACAACAGACATTTCTGGAGAAGAAACAGGCAGGAGACCTTGACATCTACCAGATATGACATTATAAAATTGGAGTAATGAATAAATTGTGGTAATGATACAGAGTTTGACAGGTCAATGGAACAGAACAGAGAACTACAACAGGAAGATAAACATATATATATGATGTGTGATAGGAATTCCACATCAAAACAAACTTTTCCATAAAAGATGCTAAGACAACTAGTTATCCATATATGAAAAAAATTAAATTTGATCCCTACCACACACCAAATACAAAATTCAATTCTAGAGGGTTAGGTCTCATAAAGAAAAAACTATAAAAATCCAAGGATAGAAAAGAAGTTCTTTAAAATATACAAAAAGTACAAACCACAAAAGAAAACACTGGTAAAACTGACCTTTAAGGTTAAGAAAATGTTCAACCACAGCGGGTAAGGGAAGAAGGGAAGGTGGAAGGAAGGGAAGGCTACAAACTAAAAGATCTGAAATATATATAAGCCACAAAATATTCATTCTCAGACTACATAAAGAACTCCACCAGGGCTGGGGATTTAGCTCAGTGGTTCCAGAGCCTGACTCGTAAGTGCAAGGACCCGAGTTCAATCCCCACTACCAAAAAAGGAAAACAAAAAAGAACTCCCACAAATTAGG